TTTAGCTTAGCGGTGGTGACGTGAAGTCATGTGACCGTACTGTAGTTCCTTTATAGCCCAACATTAGGGTATTGGTTCAACATGTAGAAGTAGAAAGTACAGGTATTTGGTTCAACATGTAAGAAGAGAAAGTAGTTCAAATGTAAGAAGTCAAAGTAAAAAGTCGTCAGAAAATAAGTAGTGGAGTAAAGTACTGATACCAGAAATATGTACTTAAGTGCAGTAACAAAGTATTTGTACTCCACTACTTCCCACCTCTGTATAATGTTAATTGCTAATTTCCCCCTCTTATTTTTGTCTTCCAGGTGGAGTACGTGATAAAGTGCGACATGTCGTCCCTGCAGAGAGTTCTCTACAGACACATGCAGGCCAAGGGAGTGCTGCTCACTGACGGCTCAGAAAAAGACAAGAAGGTGAGAAGAGAAGACTTATTATTATTATTATTATTATTATTATTATTATTATTAGAGCACATCGAGGTATTCTACATATTATATCTAAAGCTCACAAGAAGATTAGAAACTGAGGATTTTCTCTGGCTATTAAAATGTCGCTTGATTTATATTCGGCATTAGCACTCCGTAATAAAAATGTAACAACCCAGACAGACCTGCACGAGTTTTGGTTTGTTTCAATGGTTTTATTCTGATTTATTTGATCTGAGAATATGTAGTCTTAAGGCACTCTTTATATGGCATTCCTATCAATGTTGTTGAGAGGATTTTGGGGGGAAATGGATATGCTGAAATATGACCGCTTTTGTGTTTGTTTTACAGGAGTCTTTCTCTGAGCATCTCGGCTACTCTGGAGGAGTCGTGAGCGGGTGAGTACATCTTGATATGGTTTATGTTTAGTCACAGGAAGTGGAAATATATTGTCTCATTCTGTTCATTTCTACCCGTCCAGCCCCGACCTGTACCGCGCCTCTGGTAAATTTGAGCTGCTGGATCGAATCCTGCCAAAGCTTTGTGCCACCAACCACAAAGTACTGCTCTTCTGTCAGATGACCACGCTCATGACCATCATGGAGGACTACTTCGCCTTCCGAGGCTTCAAGTACCTGCGTCTGGACGGTGAGACTCCTCCTGACCACTAATTACCTCTCTTTAAAGCCCTACATTAGCCTTCTTTAGCTTAGCGGTGGTGACGTGAAGTCATGTGACCGTGCTGTAGTTCCTTTATAGCCCAACATTAGCCACCTTTAGCTTAGCGGTGGTGACGTGAAGTCATGTGACCGTGCTGTAGTTCCTTTAAGCCCAACATTAGCCCCTCCTTTAGCTTAGCGGTGGTGACGTGAAGTCATGTGACCGTGCTGTAGTTCCTTTATAGCCCAACATTAGCCACCTTTAGCTTAGCGGTAGTGACGTGAAGTCATGTGACCGTACTGTAGTTCCTTTATAGCCCAACATTAGCCACCTTTAGCTTAGCGGTGGTGACGTGAAGTCATGTGACCGTGCTGTAGTTCCTTTATAGTCCATCATTAGCTTTTTACTTCTGAAATGATTAAGAGGTGTTAATATGTGTAGATTTTCCTGCTGAACAAAACGTGTAAGTATCATAAACGTTTGTTTGCCTCAAAGATTCCCTTTTTATTATCATACCTTTTACCTCCTTGTGTCTCCTAACCTGTTAGACTGTTATATTTTGTTGCATCAACCTGTAAAGTTCTTAACATCTAATCTGAGGGGAATTGTGTGTTGTTTATTTTTAACTTGTAATGTGTCGCCATTTTGTAAAGCACTCTGAGCTGCACGTGTGGTATGAAAAGTGCTATATAAATAAAGCTTTATTTCTTCACACTCTTAATCTCTCCTCCCCCCACAGGAACCACTAAGGCAGAGGACCGTGGGATGCTCCTGAAGACCTTCAACGACCCTGCCTCGGACAACTTTGTGTTCCTGCTCAGCACCAGGGCTGGAGGTCTGGGCCTCAACCTGCAGTCGGCTGACACCGTGGTCATCTACGACAGCGACTGGAACCCACATCAGGTACTGAGATAATCTCATTTGTTTCAAATATTTTTATTGAGCAGAAGCATACAAGTGTGCACTGGAAAAAATGCTGCTCCAAAAACAAGGTGTTCTCACTTGAAATAAGTACAAAAATCTGCCAATAGAACAAGTGAAAATGTGCTTGGTAAGATGTCTTGAAATAAGAAGGAATATTTAGATAAATCAGATCTTGTAATCAGCTGGAGAACT